AACTTTTTACTTAAAAAATTAAAAATAATAATTATTTTAAAACATAGAAAATAAATTACAATCAGCACTGTGATAACAACTTAAACAACTAATTTCACAGCTGAATTATGCTTTAGTAATCCGTGTAAATGTCATCCACATTGTGAAAAGATAACATTTCCCTCAATTTATTCAATGAATCGAATATAAGTTTATATACAAGAGTATGCTAATGGCAAGAAAAACATAAAAGGAAAGGGAGAAGATGAACGTTGCCAACAGTAAAAGAAATATTTTGGTGCAGTACCTTGAAATGTTTCATAACAAAAAATTAATCACCACCTTGAAATGTTTTGGAGCAGCGCGGATCAAAGTGGCCATGGCTGCAGCAAAAGCCTCATCCACCGGGTATGAGGAGGAATCAGACGCCACTAATCCAGAGAAATGGTGCATCTTGAGGCCCTTGGAAGAAGGCGACCCGAAGCCTTTAGAGGAGCTCTTCCATAGCCTCCATTTCTTCTTCCCCTTGTCAACCAGTTTCTTCTGTAAACACTATTTGAAGTAAAAATCAGAGGATGGAATGAAAACAGGGGAAAACAGAGAGAAAAGAGTAAACAGAGTTTTGTATAACATTACTTGATTATTGTTGGAATTGGAAGGTTGTGGTGGTTTCAGAGTGGCTAAGGACTTGAACCATTTTCCGGAAGCACCCATTTTAGAAAATTTGAAAAAAAAAAAAAAACAAAGCTTGCGTTGAGAATTATGAGACAGCCGAGTGCGGAGAGGTGGCTTCTTCAATTCAATGCTTTAGAGAACAAAGGAGCGTTGTTTTGAATTTTGAATTTCGGAAAAAAGAAGGGAATAAAATTTTACTGTAGCAACGGATACACTAGACCTTTTTTCTTTTCTGCTTTTTCTTGCGCTGGGAGGGTCCAGCCGACTACAAACAAACTATGGATTAAGTTCTGGGCCTTTGTTGGGGAGCCCAATAAAACAAGCATAGACGATTAGACTTTCTTTTGAGCTAGACGGTGCAGCCCACTGCAAACTATGGTTTGATTTTGGGCCTCAGTTAGAGAGACCAATAAAAAAAGCATGGACCACAGACACAGGCCCAGTTCAGAGCACAAATGTTACGTGACACGCACGTGGCACCCACCTTAACACAGCAATCCTTACAATCTGCAAAAGTGCAAAATGTTGGTTCATGACCTCCACGTATACGTTACACTCTTTCAACTTGTTTTGCTTTGACTTGGGGTCTTTACACATATGTCCCTTAACTCAACCATACATGTGAACTCTATACTCCCTCATTCACATTTGAGTCTATGATTTGCTTTTCGTGAATGTAACTACGGATCTCACTTAACTCCACCTCAGATGTGAACCCTATACTTCAACATTCTCTCCAGTCAAATGATGTCTGTGATTTGCTCCCCATGAGTAACTACGGACCTCAATTCACTTGCCAAAGACATCATAGTCTTCAATTCGTCAAAGATATCATAATCTTCAGTTATTCTTGCTATGGCATTATTGCATAGTCATCTCTTCCATGGACTTCACCACAACCACAATCCTGATTGCTAATTACACCATCAGCTCTTATGCCACTTGTTAGGAAGACAAGTAGGCCAACTTGAGAGTGCATGTGTGAGAGAGTTCAAACATATATGAGAATATGTTATCTTGAACTCAAAAAACATACATGCTTATCAGATTCATAAGTTTTTAGATACATTACACTCTTTTAACTTATTTTCCTTTGATATGAAATCTTTATAGATCTCTTAATTCCACCTCACATATGATCCCTCTACTACTCCAACATTTTGTTTGCTTGCAATGTGTCTTTTTTATTCATGTGATTTCTATATTAGCAGTAGAAGCATTCATGTCAGATCTCCAAGTGTTTCCTCAAAAATCCTCAAGTGGCTTCACACATGCGAAATCTAGATGCGGACGTGTCATTTATTTTTCTGAAAAGTAAGAAAAAAGGATTTTCCCAATGACCTTCTCCTTTCACACGGTTGACCTCCGTTAGGATGACTAGAAGAATGTTGGTTTAAGATTGAGTTTTGCGCCCTTTAGACGATTTGCAAGAGAGAGGGATGCCTTTCTGCAAAATAGGTTGCTAATCTGCCTTGAACAATCTCAAGAACTTTACCAATACTGTGACTTTAAGTTAAAAAATCCAAAATAAATTGAATGAAATGCAAATTAGAATAAACTTGATGTTTATTGCATGAAAAGAAATCAAAAAGCAATTACACAAACTAATTTGGGTGCCCGAATGCTGAAAACAATCTAAATCGATTGGGATCGGCGCTAAAACTAAAATCTGTAAGCAATTGCAAAGAAAATAAAAGTCTAAAAATTTGCAAGTTTTGAGTAAGGCTGGCCGTGTGTTCTGAAAAAATTAAAAACCTTCTATTTATATGATTCCTGTGAACTGCCTCTTGGCTGATCAGATCCCAGATACCTTCCTTCGAAATTCTAGGGATTTCTGTTCCTTTTAAAAATCAAGCTGCAACAAATCGGATAACTCTTATCCTCCCAATCAACTTTACATATATGCATCCTTCGGAAGATTTAATCTCTCACCTTATCCATTGACATGTGGCATTACTTAAAAAAAAATGCAATTTATGGTGTAAGCACCAAGAGTTTTATTTTGTTACCAGTATATAGGTGTTGTCTTTAGTGTTCAACCATAGCTTGTCTATTTCTTATACTTTGTTCTTCCTTAGGTTTCAATTTTAAATTAAGCAGAAACTACATTCTGATTCCATTTTGTTCTGTCTTGCTTGCGTTTCAAGAGGAAAATTTTATCTGTTTATATTAATTTTTTCTGTCTATTTGTTCTTTTGTTTTCGGCTGGAACTCTTATTTTCAATATTCTCTCAGTCTAATATAGTTGTTTTACATTAATTTTTGTATAAAATTGACTAAGATACTTCTATATAATAAATAAATGATAATTAAAAAGTTTTTTCATTTTATATAAATTTTGAACCTGATATTAAAAATATTAAGATATTTAATCATAATCATTATATGTGTAAGACATAATATAAACCTTAATTTTATCAAATTCATCATATAATTATTATTAAATATTTTGACATTTTTAAGGTCAAAACATTTTAATTTTTCCTTTTGCCATAAATTTTTATTGAGTATTTTTACTGAAATTAAAAAATATTTTAAATTATCATTATTTTGTTTTTTTATTATATACTAATGTATTAGTATTTTATTATATAAAATCATCAAATTAATTTACATAAATTTAAGAGACTTAGATAACTTAAAAAAAAAAAAAAAGGACATAGAAGGAGTATTATTTGTGTAGACGTTTGACTTTGCAATGGCAAGCTAGATAGAGTGGAGAGTGGCTGATCCAAAATTAAAAATTAAAAAATTAAAAAATTAAAAATAAAAAAGGGTGGGGGTGGGGGGAAGATAGTGTGGCTGGGTGGGAGTTTTCTTGACCAAACTGAATCAAACTAAAATTTTTGGTTAAAATGTTTATTTCCAAAATAGTTAACTAAATTACATTTTGAAATAAAGTTTAGTCAACCAAAATAATTAGGTTCGGTTTGATTCACTACACTTGTATAATCCAAATTTAAAAAGTCTTTTTATTGGGGGGCGCCTAGCAGATGAACTCTTATATACACACACTAAAGGGTAGAAGTAACATTGATATTTTTAATTTTTATTTTCTCTAGTATAATTTTTATAAATTTTTCTTCACATATTTTTCTAAGGGAAAATGTCTTTCATAGCTTTCATTAGTTATGATCTATTTAATAATATTTATATATTAATTTTTATCATAAATAAAAAAGTTAAACACCAAATAAAATTTTAATAAAGTTTCATTATAAAACATACTAAACTTGTACTTGGAATTAATTAATAACAATTTTCGCTATTCAATAATAATAATAATAAAAAGAGTATGGATTAACTTTTATATAATGTAAGTATTATATTAATTCTTTAATCACTCATTTTAAAATTTCAACAATTAATGTAATACTTAAAATTTTAAAATAGTTGCTTAAATTTTAAAATATGTGGTTAAAATTGAACTAACTCTCTATTGCCTTATTATTATTATTATTATTATTATTATTATTATTATTATTATTTTCCCTTTTATAATACATATGTGTAGAATGAATATTTAATTGCATAATATGAGACTAATTAAGAGATAGACACCTTAATTCATCTAATAATAATAATAATAATAATAATAATAATAATAATAAGAGATATACACTATAAATTATTTATGTGACCTATTTGGATTGATCCTAAATATTCATTAATATTTGTCATCTAAGTCAATATTTCAGCCTTATATTCTTGACTTTTGGATAAATCTTAAATATAATACGTATACTTTTTTTATTCAACTATGTAGTTTTTTGGTTGTTTTTCTTAACAGCACTCTTTTCTGTAATCGATCCGTATTTATGAAACTTCTATAAGAACATCGTACGCTTAAAATCAAAACTTAAACTTTAATTACATACTTCAAGTCTTCAAGTTTTTGCTCATTTTGTCGGCCAGTTCAACTAAGATTTCTTTTTGCTTCGATCGACTAAGGTAAGTTTTCTCCACGAAAACCTGTCGGTATATGTATTCCATTTTATTCTATTTACTATGCCTAATTAGTTTATGTTTTTATTTTATTTTAATTTTATTTCCTTCGCTTGAAGGTAGTTTTTCTCTTTGTTCTTTTTATTATTAGTTTTTTCCATCCCTTTACTCCTTATGAGATTTTTTTGAAAATCTGCTGAATTGGTAATTTTGTATTTCAGAATATATTATGAGTTTGAGTACCATGGTACTCATTAATAAAAATTCCTTTTGCATTTCAGAAAAAAAAAAAGAAAAAAAGTTGAAGTCTTATATAAGTGTTTGGGTCTGATATTCATCAATCCAGCTTGTTGAAATTGATCCCAACTCATCTTACCCCTCCCCCACACCCTGGTTAGGAGAACTTAATTAGTTGAACAACTCAAAATATGAAGGCAGGAACATAATACACAGCACAGGAAACAAACTGAAACAACAACACTTCAATTCTGCTGATAAAATTATATATATATATCCAACCTCAATTTTATCATCCACTCCTGCCTACTTTTCTTTTATTAATTTTTAATGCCTTGTGGTACTCTATAATGCTCTATGCACACTCACCAGATGTCCTCACCCAATGTTGGAATGAGAGTGTGAGCATCCAGCGGCTTTGCCCCCTTCATCCATACACAAAAGTCTCAGCGTAAATTAAACACAACAATGGTTCCACAGTCAGACCTATTTTCAAACAAGTACAATTCCTCCAATACCAAACGTACCATGCCACAGGAAAGAGCACCAAAGCACCAACCTCCCTCCATTTACCCTTCCCCCATCCATACATGGAAAATATCTGCCACATACATACTCCATCCACTGAATTTAACAAAGCCCCCTCCATATTCCACCACACCTTAAAACCTGCATCCACACCCTCCACATCTTACTGCAGGTCACAAAATTTTGGTCCCTATCTTCCAAACGGGTGTATCTCATGTTACTCCCTTTAATAATAGTAATAATAATTTGTTGAGAAAGAAAACAATTAACATGTAAATTGTTTATTGCCAAATAATAACTTTCAAATTTCAATTTTTAAGTCTATACACATTTTTTTCTTTGATTTTGGGTTACTAAATGAGGAGACTAAATTGTATAGTCATCGTGGATTCCTAGCTAGTTTAAGTTTCAAGTGGCACGAACTTAGAGTCACTTTGAAGTCCCATGCTCTCTTTTTCTCAGATCCACAGCTGATAATGCCTAAAATTTGCAAAGAGTTGTTTGATCACTCAACACTATTAAGAATACACAGTACAAAGTTTGAGAGAGAAGAAAAAAGTTCATTAAAAAATAAATAAATAAATAAATAACACACCTGAATAGAATGTGGGCCTCTAATTTGAAGAGAATACTGAAAGAGGGGGAATATCTTCATCCACTGCCCCTTCTGTAAAAATTTATAAAATATTACCTTTTCAATTAATCGATAAACATGAAAAAAAAAAAAAGAAGAGAAAGGAACGAACTTATAAAATTTAATGTTTTTTTAGATATACTAACCTTAACATTTGTCAAGTCTGCTTCACGTTCCTCTAAGAACCTGCAGAATTCCTTTAAACTTTCATCTGTTGGACGATAATGGCCGCTGTTCGGCCATATACCCTGTATACATGTACATAGATCAACTGTGTTAGAAAGTAAGAATGTTTAAAAAACGTAAATCAAGCCAATGACTTAAATAGTTTAATAATAATTTTCTTCTACTAAAAGTAAAAAAT